ACTGCAGAGGAGAAGTCGGCTAAGATGCCGACCATGGTGCAGCAGGATGCTGCGGGCAGCGACGACGACCACAGTTGCGATGGCGGGGATGTCGAGGAGTCCACCGACAGCGATGTGGTGGAATTTCAGGGCGGACTACAGCGTACGGGCCGACTTCGGAGGCCGCCCGACTTCTTCGTCCCCGCTGCTTTCACCACGGTGTATAATGTGGATGTCGACGACCTGGTGTACGACAAGGCTGAGGATGATGAGGAGCTGCTGGAGCTCAACCCCGACTTGCACGCTAACCCCGAGCACCGCTGGGACATCTCTACGATATCGGTGAAGGAGGCGTTGGCTAGCTGGAAGGGCCAGGCGATGAAGGCCGCCATGCAGGAGGAGATCCGTAGCCTCATCAACATAGGCACGTGGGAGCTGGTCAAACGCCCACCCGGAGTGAACATCATGAAGAACCGGTGGGTGGTGACAACGAAGTACCGCATCGACGACACCGTCGAGCGCGAGAAGGCGAGGCTGGCCATGAAGGGCTTCACACAGGTGTATGGCGCCGACTACGACTAGACGTATGCGCCGGTGAGCAGCTACGTCACGCTGAGGATCTTCCTCAGCGTCGTCGCCATCCTCAACCTCAATCTGATGCAACTCAACATGAAGAACGCCTTCCTGCAGAGCAAGCTCAACCGGGTGCTATACATGTACCAACCGGACTACTTCAACGACGGGACCGGCCGGGTGTGTAAGCTGCTGAAGAGTCTCTACGCGCTGAAGCAGTCGCCGCTGATGTGGTACCAGGCGCTCAACGACGCGCTGGTCGACGCTGGGTGGAAGAAGAGCCAGGTCAACGAGGCTCTATACTTCAAGGTCAGCGACAACAAAGTGGCTTGCTTGGTGTTGGTCTACGTCAACGACTTCCTCGCCGCCAGTAGCAGCACCGAGATGTTGAACGAGCTAAAGGAGCTGCTGAAGGACGCCTTCAAGTTGCGCGAGATCTCGCCGGTGCAGAAGTACCTCGGGCTGGAGATCGTCCGCGACAGGTCGGCGGGGAAGCTGTGGCTGCACCATCAGGGCTACGCGAACAAGCTGCGTAGGCGCTTCATTGACGAGGAGCAGACCAGGCGCACTCCGAAGACGCCGGTCTCGGTCGACGCCTACGCCGAGCTCACCTTCGACAACGAGGAGGCATAGGAGCGACAGGAGGAGGAGTACCAGCAGAAGGCCGGCTTGGTGCAGTTCGCGGCGACAACGACGAGGCCGGACATCGCCTTCGCCTGCAGCAAGCTGGGGAGCGGCCTCACGGTAAGGAGTGACCAGCACTGGCGCGAGGTCGACCGCTGCCTCACCTACCTCTCCAACACCCACAACACCGCCCTGGAATTTGACGGTGGACCAGAGTTGTTGGAGCTGGTCGGCTACGTGGACGCCCACGACGCCGGTGACAAGCAGAACAGGACGAGCACGGGAGGCTACGTGTTTGTCTACGGAGGGGCCACATGACAAAGTTTGAAGAAAGAAAGAGGATTGAACTAGCAAGAATGAGGATACAAATAGCAAACCCTAGAAGGGTTGTACTCGCTATAGAGCACCCCACTACAGGCTAGAACATAAGATAATATTCTGATGCCACAGTCTCCTGGTCGAGCCAGCGCATCAAGTGCGCGACGCTGTGGTTGACTGAGTCAGGGTACGTGGCGGCCACTGAAGCGGGCATGGAGGGACGCCGTCTTCGCTTCCTCCTCACTGAGTTCCAGTAGGTGGATGCCGGGAAGCCGACCGTCCTTCGGGTGGACAACAAGTCGGCCATCACGGCCGCCGAAGGCATGGGGTTGACAGGCAACCTCAAGCACATGGAGCGGCAACAGGCCTGGCTGCAGCACATGGTGGAGCGCGGGAAGTTATTGCTGAAGTACATATTGACAGCTGACCAGCCGGCCGACTTCCTGACGAAGGCGCTACACTATCCGGCCTTCAACCGGTGCTCCGTCTCAATCGGCTAGGTGCGCTTGGCTGAAGTGGGCAACGGCGATGATGCGGTGCAGCAGTAGGTGCCATGCCCTCCTGCATGGCTGGTGCGGTGACCGGCGTGCTGTATGTTGGGTGCTCGTCGACGAGCTATTCTTTGAGCAGTGCTGCCGTGTGGGCTGGGGGCCCAAGCGTGAACGCGGTAGGGGAGTGTCAACGGGAGTTGGGTGTGGCCCCGTCCTCGCTTGGGCGGAGCCAACCTCGTGGTCGGGTGTACGGGGGAGTGCAGCCGGCCTGCAGCAGTGGGTGAGCTGGTCGATAGGGTTAGTCGACCTGCACGGGGGCCACTACAAGGGCGCCGACTTTGGGAGGGTGCCGACTTCTGGGAGGTCGACCTGTGTAGGGCGTCGACTTGGTGACGCCAACCTGGAGAAGCCGACTTGGGTGGTCGGCCGACAGCTGCGCTGGTCGACTTGGAGCTGGCCGACCAGGGGTGAAGGTCAACCTGGTGAGGTCGACCGGAGGTGGTCGTCGACCTTGGTGGTCGATGGGCACGTGACAATGGTGTTGGTTGACCAGGCATGGTTGCCCGGTCTACCGGGATACCCGGGCAACGTATGCGATGGTCGCCGGGGTAGTTGTGCGAGGCCGACCTTGGAAGTGGCATCCCAAGGTCGACGTGGCTGGTAGGCGCAGTCGCTGTCGTGGAATCGACCTGGACGTCTGCGCTGTGCACGTGATGAGGAGTAGAGCACCAACCAGCTGTGCGCATCTACGAAGCAAGTGCTTCGTTGTCCTGCAGGTGCAACGCTGTGCAGCCGACTTGCTACAGCGTTGGCACACCGTGGACTTGCAACGTTGGCAAGCCGCGACTTTGCTCTGCTGGATCACGATCGACCAAGTCGTGCTGGCACGCGGTCGACCGTGCTGCGCTGGAGGTTGACCATCAGCTTTGCTAGTTTGATGTAGTCTTGCATGCCAACTTTGTTGCTATCATTCTGAATCCGTGTTCTCAACTTTTGCTAGTGAAACTCTTGCGGTTTTGCCCCGTGAATGCACAAGTACTAGAGAACATTTAAGGAACGAATGCAGAGATCACACGAACACCCGTGCCTAGCTCGTAGTCTAGCTCCCGCTGATAGAGTTATCTCGGCTGGAAATTCAAGACACTGAAAGAAGTGACAGTCTTGCACTTGGACAGGGGTAAAGTTCCGAATGGCAAACTGGACATCCTGATTCTCGCTATTCAGACCGTCCGGTACCAAAAAAAGGAACCGTCAGGAAAATCGCCAAAAATCAAAATCAAGACACGCCTAAGCACAGCTGAGATCTCGTTCCTTTCTATTCTAGTCACCCGTTATAATTTTCTACCACACGCGTTAACCTGTCGCATTTAGGGCGTGTAACCATTTCGCCATTTTGTGTTTTGCCGACAGTTCGCTTTTTTTTCATTCGGACGGTCCTAATCCACTGTTAAGACCATCCGAATCGACGATTTGGCACTTTGATACCGTCCGAAGTGGATAGTGACACTTTTTCGAGTCTCTTTCAAATTCGCGAGCAATGTAGCATCGCGAGAAGTACTGTACCGCTCGTAACTTAAGTAACACATTTTGTTAGTTTCGTGTAATGTCATTCGCGCGATGTGTGAACATACGACAGTGCGACTCGAATTTGAAATTTGTCTAAATTTTGCCCGCCAAACTCGTGCAAGGAAATTCGGACGGTCCGAATGTGTTTCAGACTGTCCGACTCCGACATTTCGAGCCGTTGAAGTCGGAAAAAAGTGTCATTACCATTCGATCGCAATGGTACAAACGCATACCCTAACGAGAAAATGCGAGATAGGTAACTCTTCGTTATCCGAACGGTCCACAATTCTGACCGTCCGGGCCAAAGAGTGGCAAAATGGTTACACGCCCTAATTATCGGTCTAAGTCGCCTACTGCCACTCTGAGCAGAATCCTCACAGCCTAGATGATCTCGATCAGGGTTATCGATTCAAGGGCATTTGCCCTTAATGCCGTGAACATTCCGGGCGAACTCCTGGCCAGCTTCTACGCTTCAAAGGGCTGGTTCCGAGAGGAGCCCATTTTTCTTACTGGCTGATTTTGAGAAATTGGGGTATCAACCCGGATCCGTTGAAGCCCAAGACCTGAATTACAAACTAAAAAAGGCAAACTGAGCACAGTTTGCCTTCCGAACCCAAAGTTGACCTCCCGAGCCAGGATGGTTACCAGACAGGCGTCGCATCCTAAAAGGACTGCGTCGTATATCAGTATGCATCTACTTGGCGAGAGTCCCAACCACCCTATGCGCAAGGAAGAGGGAACTGCCTGTGCACAGTTTGCTTGAAAATTGTAATTCAGGAAAGGCTGTGCGGCTACTACTCGAGACCCTAAGCTTGGAGCCTATAGCAAATTCCTACCTTCAACCCCGTTGCAACGCAAAAGTAGTTATTGCTCGTTCCAAGCTTGAAAGGCGAGAAGCGCATATTACAAGACATCACTCCCTTCGGTTTCATAAGATGAACCTCGCTATCCCCTCACATCGTCCTCCACCTCCACGCACCGTCACCCTCGCTTCCCCCGTGGTCCCCGTCGCCATTGCCCTCCCATCGCCCTTACCCCTATCCCCTCCCATCGCTTCCTCGTCAACGTCGCCGTGCCCCCTGGCGACGCTTCGTGAACCACTCCGCCACCACCCACTTCCTACGTAGTCGTATCTCCACCACTCCCCACTATCTTGACACGTTTTCTCACTTGGGAAGCCCGTGCACACGCCCACGTTTCTCCTCCCTGCGCGTGCTCCTTTCTTGTAAGCAAACTCACTTGTATCCTCTCGCCACCTCGCGCGCGCTCTTCTTGCCTCCCGCGCAGGCTCCTATCGCCTCCGCGCGCGCGCGCTTTTCTTGCCTCCCCGCGCGGCCTCCTCTCACCATCCCGCATGTGCTCCTCTCGCCTTCATAGCGCGCGAATCTCTTGCCTCCCCGCGCGGCCTCCTCTCACCTCGTCGCGCGTCCTCCTCTCGCCGCCCTACGCATGCTTCTCTCGCCTCCCCGCACGTGCTCCTCTCGCCTCCCCTCGCGAGCTCCTCTCGCCCCCCCGCGCGCGGCTCTTGCCTCCCAGCGCATCCTCTTCTCGCCTCACCTTGCGTGCTCCACTCGCCTCCCCGCGCTTGCTCCTCTCTCCTCACCTTTCGGCGTGACCGCACCGCGCCGCGCGTGCGCCTCTCTCCACGCCTTGCGTGCTCCTATCGCCTCCCCGCCCGTGCTCCTCCCTCCTCACCTTGCTTGCTTCTCTCGCCTCCCCGCGCGTGCTCCTCTCTCCTCACCCTCCGTGCTCCTCTTGCCTCCCCGCGCGTGCTCCTCTCTCCTCACCTTGCGTGCTCCTATCGCCTCCCCGCGCGTGCCCCTCTCTCCTCACCTTGCGTGCTCCTCTCTCTTCCCTGCGCGTGCTCCTCTCTCCTCACCTTGCGTGCTCCTCTCTCCTCACCTTGCGGGCTCCTCTTGCCTCCATCACAATGTTCCTGCCTTTTTGTGGTTGGGTTCAGCAATTTGTCGAACAGCAATTTCAGGCGCGACTCAGCTGCAACACCAACGGAAATTTCAGGCACTCAATTTCGCCCCTCCCGAAATTCTCCCGCCTGTTCCCAGACTGTTTTCCAGTTTGTCCGACCCGCGATTGCACATTGCTTCCCAAAATAGCGGTTCGGAAATTCAGCGGTTCGTTTTAATTCGACATTGCAGTAAGCCTCGTTTTGTGTACTGGCAATTTAAATATGGATGATTTCCGGAACAACACGTAGACGATATTATTTGTTTCTACAATCCAAGAATGCAATTATTAGTTGTAACTACAGATTACACTATGTATTTGTTCATCATGTACACATCCGGCTCTTCCGGATCATACATCTTCACCACATGCACGTGGCGCAAGATAGACGCGATTGGAATTATGTGAAATGCATTCTCGTCTGCGGGCCATCGCAGACGCACGCACCCTGTTGTTGCGTCTGTGCCTGACGTCATGTAGTACCTGACGTATGCAAGGTTGTGTCGTACGTTGCGCCTCTTGCAATGGAACAGGAGCATCAACATAGCGTATTCCACGCCACCTCCCTCGCACGAAATTGCAACGTTAGAGAACCAAGGTCTTTTGTAGCTGTCCGGTGTAGCCCTCACAAAATGGGCTTCTTTGGATGACTAAGTACCTGCATCAGCCGGGATTGCCATTGTTGGATGAGCCTGAAAGTATACATGTACAAGAATGGTGTGAGAAATTGTTGTACGGTAGTAATATTCGATTCCTGCACGAGTAAAAGCTTACCATGACCTTTTCGGCGCTCAAGCCATACTCGGCCAACGCCGTTTCGAAGTACTGATGTGCGATTGGCTGTTGGGCAGCCCACTTGTTGTAGAACTCGTTCATCTTGGTTGGCTCAGCTGGAGGCTTGACAAACACCGCGTACGCGTCTTGGGTAACTACCAGTGTGCCAAGGTTTGTTGCCTGCATGTATCCAATATTGTGTGTGTTAACCATTGCAGAATGGTGCTGCATATGTTGTGTCAATAAATGAGGACTTGCAGCATTGATGTCTCGTGGGCGCACTCGAGTGTGTCCAGAGTTTGGTATACCGCCCTTTTCTCATGGTGTTCCATGATTTGGGCCTCGACGCCGCGTTTGTTGGTACGTCGATAGATTGGCTTCACCAACGGCCCGTGAAGATGTTCAAACATCGCTGATGAGTACTCAGACACGTGGCCTGCTCTCCTTATCGCTCCAGGGTAGTGTGTCATGAGGTGTGTTTTGATCAAACACCACTCTGATTTTTGCTCAGGAAAGGCATCCTGCAGCTCTTTGACCAGCCTGTTGGAGTGGGATCAATTATAGACAGCACTTGGCAAGGTGTGCATTTACAAAGCACCAGCAACATTGGGTGTAAGGTGTTATTGATCACACTTTTGAGTAATGGGTTCAGGATCCTTCGGGTGTTTTTACAGCACATAAACAGAAAAGAACAGTTAATCATGAAATGGAATGGTACCTATCAGTCAAACCCTCTAGAGTCGACAGATCTCTCTCCGTGTGGCCGGGTTGCTTGGCGCAGAATAGATACCAATCTAGGTACGCTCGGATTGCGCTCAAGCACTTCTCCTCCAGCGTGTCTGAGACGATGAAGAGGAGCACCTGGGGAGGGTATGGGTTAGTGCAAATCTTGTGTATGCATTGTCCACAATAAGGCATCAGCAACAAAACGTAAGCTCCATAGGCCTAAACAAACACGTACCATGCGCACCGCACGATGCTCGTATGCCGTAATTCGGGCAGAGGACGTGAAGTAGTTGGCTGACAGAAAACGGACGTTAGTCATCCTCGTATCAGCGTGGATTTGAGCTAGCCGCCTAAAAATGGGAGTGCATGGGCGAAAGATAAGGCGGGCAGACAAAGGAACAGCAAGGGTGATTGGCAGATGGGGGATAGATGTGGCAGGGGAGTGAGTGAAGCAGCAGGGGTGATGGGGATGGGGCGAGCGAAAAACAGCAAGGGTGATTGGCAGATGGGGGATGGATGTGGCAAGGGAGTGAGTGAAGCAGCAGGGGTGATGGGGATGGGGCGAGAAAAAAACAGCAAGGGTGATAGGCAGATGGGGGATGGATGTGGCAAGGGAGTGAGTGAAGCAGCAGGGGTGATGGGGATGGGGCGAGCGAAAAACAGCAAGGGTGATTGGCAGATGGGGGATGTATGTGGCAGGGGAGTGAGTGAAGCAGCAGGGGTGATGGGGATGGGGCGAGCGAAAAACAGCAAGGGTGATTGGCAGATGGGGGATGTATGTGGCAGGGGAGTGAGTGAAGCAGCAGGGGTGATGGGGATGGGGCGAGCGAAAAAAGCATGGTGGGAAATGGAGTGACAGAATAAGTCATGTGGATGGGATTCTGATAGGAGAAGCAGATTTGGAAGGGGACTTACGCGTCGAACAAGGCGAGGCTCCGGCCGTATGACGCACGAACCGCAGCCACGATGTGGTGTAGAATGCCCAGGTCGGACTGGTGCATTATGTCAGGCATGATCGCTTGGTACGGATTCGCCCATGGCGCGCCAGGCACATCCCAGTGCCAGAGTGCGCACTGCAAACAAATCGCTCAACATAGTCGATTTTAGAAGGTAGATGGTTTCAAGAACGCTAATATAATTAAGCATGTATGCACATACCTCAATGCCGAATGTGGAAAACTGGGCCGCAGCCGTCTTTTCAATTCCCAACTTGTCCCCTGCATGCTCCATGATCCAGCGTTGTTGGTCGACTATCCTAGGCGTGTTCTCAGCAGTGACACAGTCAAGATGCTCCTGAAAGGGGGTGCAAGGATATCAGCCATAGTTGTGGCGGTGCAAATGAGAGCGCCATGGCTGTGGGGGTGCAAAGGTGAATCCTATGGCAGCGGGGGCGCAAGAATGCCAAGTACGGTAGTGGGGGCGCAAGTAAGGCGGTCGGAATAGTGTCTTACCTTCTCAGCATAGCAGATACTGCAAGGACGAGCAGTGCCACCAGATAAGGTGCAGGTTACTTTCCCACTTTCGGGGTTATCACAGACCCATGTGTAAAGCATGGGTCTGACCACATGCTCCACGCCATTGGGGTCCTTGAGCAAGAAGCCACTGTCATGGAAATGCATGTTGTGGAACGAAAGGGGTTTGGTCATCATAATCACACGCTGATACATGGGGAATCTGCTTTGTTAAGAAATATATATATATAGCAAAAAAACAAGAGCAATGGGTTTTGCAGGAATGGCAAACATGGCAAGGGGGGGACACGCTTCAGTTACCACGTCATAATTGGGCGCCGGAATGGCAAAGTGGGAGCCAGTGGGTAGACATTTTAGTGTAACACTAATTATTAAACAATGATCACCTTTCTCGCCCCGCAAGGAGCTTTTCAAGCATGATCAATGCGGCTTGTTGGAAAAGGGCAGTTTTCTGACCAGGTGACATGGTAGTGGGGGGGATAGGGAGAGTTCCGAGCAGACAGTGCCCAGACGATGCCCAGCGCTTGCCCTGCCGGATGTTCCCCAATGTCATCATAACAGGCCAAGCCAATTTGCGCCCGTTTTCACTCAGGTGCGTCACGTCGCTGTAGAGCATAATGGCCGCAACTACCTCACCTTCTCCCACATGATCCTGCAATTGCATATAGGGTCGAATAGAGGGGGATTGTCAGCCTCGAACCAAAAAGCAGGCGAAAGCAATTGAGTAACGCAAGGATGAGGTTGGGTTGAGATGGAAGGACAGGCCTAGATTACACGAGTTTAGGCAATAGCAGGCGAGTAATAGGATTGTGAGGTGAGAGGTGTGTGTGAGAATGGAGTATAGGGCTGGAATACACAAGGCATGGAATCAAGAGCATGTGAGTGACGCAAGTATGAGGTGACAGTGTGCTACAAGGGTAATGTTTGACTAGACAAGATACAGAGAGGTGACTTGCAAGTGAGGAAATATGACAGGCATGGAATCAACAAGGCACTTAGGCAAGAACAGGTGAATAACGAAGTCATGAGGTGTTAGTTGCAGGTGCGCAGATGCGGCATACCTGGGCATTATGCCACCATGTGCCCGTCTCTGGGGTGGAGTAGCGTCGCTGGCCGGTTTCAGGGTCAGTGTCCATGCGTGGCTTCAGCACAAAGCCGGGTGCATTGGCTGGGTCTCCAAACATGTCCGCCAAGGCCTGCGATTACATGGTGCATAGGGGCGGAACGGAAGAATAGATGAGCAGCAGAGGTCCCGAATAGCAGAGGAGTGGAACAGCAAAGGAGCGGAACAGCAGAGGAGCGGAACAGTAGAGGAGTGGAAGAGCAGAGGAGCGGAACAGGGGAGGAGCGGAACAGCAGAGGAGCGGAACAGCAGAGGAGCGGAACAGGAGAGGAGCGGAACAGGAGAGGAGCGGAACAGGAGAGGAGCGGAACAGGAGAGGAGCGGAACAGGAGAGGAGCGGAACAGGAGAGGAGCGGAACAGCAGAGGAGCGGAACAGGAGAGTGTCAAAATTAGAAGAAAGAAAGAGGATTGAACTAGCAAGAATGAGGATACAAATAGCAAACCCTAGAAGGGTTGTACTTGCTATAGAGCACCCCACTACAGGCTAGAACAATAAGATAATATTCTGACAGAGAGGAGCAGAACAGGAGAGGATTGGAACAGTAGGAGATTGGAAATGTAGAGGAGCTGAACAGCAGAGGAGCGGAGCAACATCGAGATGGGCATGTAAGGGGGAAGTCACCTGCGTCGGATCTCGGAAAAATAGCATCTGTTCTTCAAAGCCATCCACTTCGAAGGTTGCCACGCTCCACCCACGGCCCAGGCCAGCAAGCTCTTCGATTTCAAAGCGCTTGAGCTCCCGGCAGTTTTTGAACTTCGCCAACACCAGCTCCACGAGCTCCGGATACATCAACAGCTGCAGTATCCCATTAATATCGACTTCCGCCATGCTCATCTTCCCATTGGCGAGGCGGACCAGATGAATGAAGCGCAATACTAAAGGATCCGTGGGGGATGGGGCCTGGGACTGTGCAACAACGGAAATCGGAGGTGCTGAAGCATTGCTGGTCGCAGTGTTGTCCTCGCCATTCAGATCTTCGAATGAAAGCGGTTGCGGGCTAGACCCGCAAGCAGAGGTGTCAGAGCTGCTTGCGTCAGATCCAATAGCCGAGGTCGCTGGCTCATCCGCGTCACTAGGCTCTAGACGTGGCTTGGTATGGGTGTTGGTCGGAGGCGGAGCATCCGCCACCATGAAGACATATTGCTCAGCCACCGTTTCAGTTGTAGCAGTTCCAGCGGCATACTTTAAGCGACAGCTGGACCTCCCCTTGTGCTGTCCAAAAGCCTTAGCGTCCTTAAACTGGTTGGTGCAAAACCGGCACGAAATCCACTCATGGCGTGTCATGACTACAGGTGGTGACCAAATCGCTATGTGTCAGAGATTAGGCGAGAGGATTGACGATATGACTGGAGTTATGGAGCTTTGTACAAGGCGTTGCCAGTAGTGGTGGATAGATCAGTACGTAGTAGAAAAGGTGAAACAAAAACCAGAGGTGATGCGACAGAAGTTTGAACTGGCAAAGTTTTGAAAAACGAGCGCAAACGCGATGCCGAGATCTAGGACACGTATCTGATACTAGAGTGTTGTCGAGGTGGAGGCGAAAGGTTGAGGAACAGTGTAGTGCAGTGAACTTAGTCTAAACATTATCTTGGTATAAATCATGCACAAAAAAAATGTCCAAACCAGAAAGGGTACTATATTATTACGAAATGGATTGGAGAAGTGTACGCTCAAGCAAAAGATAACCATTCTACAAGAGGGATCAGACCAATCCCAGCTTAGGAATGCCTTGTTGCTTGTATCATTTTTATAACTTGACTGAATTCACCGGTAGTGCTCACTGGTTTTCGAAACAGAGTGTGCTCTTGTTTTCCGATCAGTCTAAAACATGTAGGGATGGTTCAAAGGCATAATATGGTCTCAGGTACCAAAAATCAGACCAATCCCACCTCAGGAAGACCTTGATGCATGTCTCCGTTTTTCTGCCTGAGTGAATTCACCCCATGTGCTCACTGGTTTTGTGAACAGAGTGTGCTCTGGTTGTCCAATCAGTCTGAGACTTGTATGGATGGATCAAAGGTATCATATTGTCTCAGGTTCCAAGAATCAGACCAATCCCATCTCAAGAAGGCCTTGATGCATGTCTCAGTTTTTCTGCATGAGTGAATTCACCCCATGTGCTCACTGGTTTTGTGAACAGAGTGTGCTCTGGTTGTCCAATCAGTCTGAGACTTGTACGGATGGTTCAAAGGTATCATATTGTCTCAGGTTCCAAGAATCATACCAATCCCAGCTCAGGAAGGCCTTGATGCATGTCTCAGTTTTTCTGCCTGAGTGAATTCACCCCATGTGCTCACTGGTTTTGTGAACAGAGTGTGCTCTGGTTGTCCAATCAGTCTGAGACTTGTAGGGATGGTTCAAAGGTATCATATTGTCTCAGGCTCCAAGAATCATACCAATCCCAGCTCAGGAAGGCCTTGATGCATGTCTCAGTTTTTCTGCCTGAGTGAATTCACCCCATGTGCTCACTGGTTTTTTGAACAGAGTGTGCTCTGGTTGTCCAATTAGTCTGAGACTTGTACGGATGGTTCAAAGGTATCATATTGTCTCAGGTTCCAAGTATCAGACCAATCCCATCTCAAGAAGGCCTTGATGCATGTCTCAGTTTTTCTGCCTGACAGCTTTTGTGAACATGCCTTGACGCTTTCCTTCACGTCACTGTGTTCCGCTTCTCTGAAAGCTCTGAGATTGGTATGAGGAGCTCACTGCATATGGGGAGAGAGTTGGTTAAGATATCAGGCCCATCCAATCACTCTAGCATTGTAACTCAAGCCGGTGCATCAAGTGCAATGCGGCTGTTTTTTCAACCATGACACATGCCTTGACGCTTGCCTTCACGCCACTGTGTTCTGCTTCTCTGACGGCTCTGAGATTGGTGTGAGGAGCTCATGGCATATGGGGAGAGAGTTGGTTAAGATATCAGGCCCATCCAATCACTCTAGCATTGTAACTCAAGCCGGTGCATCAAGTGCAATGGGGCTGTTTTTTCAACCATGACACATGCCTTGACGCTTGCCTTCACGCCACTGTGTTCCGCTTCTCTGACGGCTCTGAGATTGGTATGAGGAGCTCATTGCATATGGGGAGAGAGTTGGTTAAGATATCAGGCCCATCCAATCACTCTAGCATTGTAACTCAAGCCGGTGCATCAAGTGCAATGGGGCTGTTTTTTCAACCATGACACTTGCCTTGACGCTTGCCTTCACGCCACTGTGTTCCGCTTCTCTGAACGCTCTGAGGTTTGTATGAGGAGCTCATTGCATATGGGGAGTGAGTTGGTTAAGAGATCAGGCCCATCCAATCACGCTTGCGTTGTTTATGGGTATATATGATGATGGCCTGTGAAACAACCAAAACTATGTTGACAGCCTGGCACCTTACTAGGTCACAGAGGCAGCACATCGTTCCATTGATTATAAACACAAAAGGTGGAGATGACACAAACTGTGATGGCCAGAGTATGAGAGGTTGAATGCTAGAAGCTTCGTTGGTATAGCTTGTTACGGCGGTTCTTGTAAAATTCAGGGAAATAAGCCTTTCTTTACAAAACAATAGAGGAGGACTAGGGGAAATAGTAGAGACACTTGAATGAAGATTTATACCTCAACCAAAGTGTTTATGAGCCCTAGAAGACATCAAAATATGAGCACGTTTGGAGACATAAACCAATCCCATGTGCATATTTGTGCATGATTCAGCAGTATTAATGTAATGTATAGCTATCACTATCCTAAAACAAACACACACGTACAATTTCCAACACTTGACTAAATCTGTGGCTTTCAGTTTGGCATCTTTGAGAGAGACCTTCTGTAATGTAATCTATATAAGCCTACCATTTTGTACATCTAGATTTAGGGTTGTTACTGATCTTCAACGCGACCCCCCTATCTACGACCGTCATCACCGGTCATTGTAGATTTCAGGGACCAATGGAGGCCTTTCCTTTTTTTACAGCGACACTCACCAGAAAGCGAGCCATTAACAAGAACATGTGTATGCACTTAGGGCGAGTGGCCTTGAGGTCGTAGTTTGGCCAAATTTTGCACTTCTAGAGTGGTTGTGCACGGTCAGATGTATTTAAGAGACGTTTTGCCACTGTAGAACGCGGTAATAGGGTCGACCTTAGACAATTTTTGCCATAAGACATGCGTCCTTACAATCACAAGCGCCGCCTCGTTTGTGAAAGGAACAGCGTCTCGAGTCGCGACATGACGGACCCCACCAGCAGATATGCAGCATGGGTGATTCTCTCTTTTAGTCTTACCGTGCGCACGTCCAGTGCAGGATGTCCAGTGCAACCCTCTTTGGTCGCCTTCGTTTTCTGCAGATGGCTATCGCGCCTCTGTCTCATGCATGTAACTTGCCTCACCACCGATTTTCAACCTTCCGACGGTGCTGTACGTGTCTCTCGTGGCGGCTTTATGTCTCCCACGTCCCTCGTATTCGTCGATCTGCGAGCCGTGGTGGTGGGGATGCTGTCACGCCGGGCACGATACGAGCGTAGCGCACGAATCTTGTTCGACGGCTACTCCGATACCTGGCTACCAAGCGTCGAGGTGCGAAGAGCGGTGCACCATGATCTGTTTATAAGCGATGTTTCGAGCTTGTAGTACTTGCTCAAAACTTTGACTACTAACAAACGCCTTCACTTACAGCCCTTTGCATCTCAGCAATGTTGCAACCAACCATCTCCCAAGGCCATAAGGGTGAGCACGCGGGAGAGCAGGCGAACACAAAAAAAGGCCGTGGGCGTCGAAAGAGAGGTGGTAAGAAAGCATAATGCGCCACCGAGGAACGGCGCAAGCTCCCAAATGGCTTCACCGCGGACATTCTAGGTGAGAATGACGACGGTATGGAAACGTCCGCCGATCCGAATGGCTATGCGGTCGATAATGTGGCGCACGGTGAACAGGCGGTGTTTGGTGTGGCGAATGATGACGGTTCATATCGCGACGAGACGTATGGCGAGAAGGTGGTTGGTGAAGCGGACATAGGCGAAGCGGACGGAGGCGAAGCGGATGAAGGGGAAGTGGACGAAGGGGAAGCGGACGAAGGGGAAGCGGACGACGGCGAAGCGGACGAAGGCGAATCGGACGAAGACGAAGCGGGCGAAGGCGAATCGGACGAAGGCGAAGTGGACGAAAGGGAAGCGCACGAAGGCGACGCGGACGAAGGCGAAGCGGACCAAGGGGAAGCGGACGAAGGCGAAGCGGACGAAGGCAAAGCGGACGAAGGCGAAGCGGACGAAGGCAAGGATGGGGAAGGCGAGAAGGGGGAAGGTGAAGGGGCGGAAGGCGGAGAGGCGGAAGGCGTAGGAGCTGTTGGCGAGGAGGCGGAAGGCGAAGGGGCGGAAGGTGGGGAGTGGGATGGCGAAGAGGGGGAAGGCGAGGAGGGGGAAGGCGAAGAGGGGGAAGGCGAGGAGGGGGAAGGCGAAGAGGGGGAAGGCGAGGAGGGGGAAGGCGAAGAGGGGGAAGGCAAGGAGGGGGAAGGCGAAGAGGGGGAAGGCGAGGAGGGGGAAGGCGAGGAGGGGGGAGGCGAAGAGGGGGAAGGCGAAGAGGGGGAAGGCGAAGAGGGGGAAGGCGAAGAGGGGGAAAGCGTAGGGGTTGTAGATGGGGCTGGAGAGGAGGCGGAAGGCGAGCAGGCGGAAGGAGAGGAGGCAGATGGGGTCCAGGCAGATGGCGACAATGTGGGCGAAGACTTGTCCGATTACTCCAATTTTAGTGCAGAGGAGAGAACTAATGGGCGGTGGACACGCGTACAAGCACTCAGCCGCGGGTCGGCGCTGGATGAGGATGAAGAAGCTGCACGAGTGGTGAAGAAAGGGCGGTTTATGATTCTGGGGGCCACACCGGATGATACGCAACAGTGCGGTAACGGGCGTGGCGGAGAAGCAAAGGATAAACAAGGAGGGCAGACCGTGAAAGGGGCATTGGCGGCGGCGAAGCCACCCACGAAGCGCAGGAGTAAGAAGGCCAGCACTAAACCCCTTCCAAAGGGTAAAGGTGAAGCAACGGAGGGGAAGACAAAGACAAAACCTAAGCCCAAAAAGCGTAAGTCATCCACTTTTTGCCCTCCAGCCCTGTAACCCTTCGTTCTGACCCGCCTTGCTTTTTCCCATCCGTCTCTGTCAATACTCCCGTTGTCCCATCAATATTCCCAACTAGCTTCCCTAAACCGTCCTGACCTGTCCCCTCATGCGCTATCCCATCCTGACCTGTCCCATCTTGCTCTCACCCTACACCAATCAGCGGTGAAGAATTCTGGTGTGGGTCCGCCAACCACCATCGAGCGATTCAACCTTGGGGGGGGAGGGGGGAAGCTGCCCCAGCTACAGGTCACCCTGCGGGCAAGTACTAGTGCGATGCAAGTGGGAGCAGCAGCAGCTCTTGCGGGTATGACTGTTGCAAGGGTAGGAGGAGCAGCGTCAACGGGAGGGAGGGTGGGAGCAGCAGCAGCATCAACTGGGGTGAGGGTGGGAGCAGCAGCAGCGTCAACGGGAGGGAGGGTGGGATCAGCAGCAGCATCAACTGGGGTGAGGGTGGGAGGAGCAGCAGCGGCATTGACTGAAGGGAGGGTGGGAGCAGCAGCGGCATCGACTAGAGGGAGGGTCGGAGGAGCAGCAGCATCGACTGGATGGAGGGTGGGAGCAACAGCGGCATCAACTGGAGGGAGGGTGGGAGCAGCAGCGGCATCAACTGGAGGGAGGGTGGGAGGAGCAGCGGCATCAACTGGAGGGAGGGTGGGAGCTGCAGCGGCATCAACTGGAGGGTGGGTGGGAGCTGCAGCGGCATCAACTGGAGGGAGGGTGGGAGGAGCAGCGGCATCGACTAGAGGGAGGGTGGGAGGAGCAACGGCATCGACTGGAGGGAGGGTGGGAGGAGCAGCGGCATCGACTGGAGAGAGGGTGGGAGCAGCAGCGGCATCGACTGGAGGGAGGGTGGGAGGAGCAGCGGCATCGACTGGAGGGAGGGTGGGAGGAGCAGCGGCATCGACTGGAGGGAGGGTGGGAGAAGCAGCGGCATCGACTGGAGGGAGGGTGGGAGGAGCAGCGGCATCGACAGGAGGGAGGGTGGGAGGAGCAGCGGCATCGACCGGAGGGAGGGTGGGAGGAGCAGCGGCATCGACTGGAGGGAGGGTGGGAGGAGCAGCGGCATCGACTGGAGGGAGGGTGGGAGCAGCAGCAGCATCTACTGGAGTTTTCAGGTCCAGGGGTACCACTACTGTAAGGACGCCGCCTCCAGGGCCCACGGCTTTGGCTGCCGTATCAACCAGGGTGGCGCAGACGCAGTGGGTATGACGAGTGGAGTTTGCGGCGCTTAGGAAGGAGATGCTCCAATAGTTTGAGAGCCTCAGGGCTCAAGGAGTCGCGGTTCCTGCTTAAGGACTTGCGTCGCAGGGCAGCGACGCAACAACAGGCGTTCCTCGCCCTCCAAGTCGGAGTGCCGGACAAATTGCTCTGGAAATGGTGATCGTCGATGCTGGAGACTGGAAGGTGCGTATAAAACCTTGCTGCCCTTTCCTCTCATGCTCTATTCCCTCATGCTGTCTTCCCACCAGCTCTGTTCCCCGTTGATTTGCCACTCCTGCTCTGTCCCTTCCTGTGCGCTCCTCTCCTGCTCTGTCCCCTCCAGTGCTCTCCCTTCCTGCCTTGTCTCGCTGCTCCTCTGCACTCACCATGCCATGCCCCGTAGTGGTCTCCACCACGTACATTTTGTGTTGCCCCATCCTTCCATCTACTCATACATTTTTTTCCTGGCAAGTGAAGTGCCGGAGTGTCATCACCGAGTTCTTCTGGCTGAACGACGCTCTTCACATCTAGATGTATCCTTCGAGTGAAGAGGCGATGGCTGGGTTATCTACTTATCTGTCCCCTGATACCATGCCCCACTTGCAACTGCTGTGGAAACAACAATGCCCAACAACAAAGGGGGCATTCTATACAGCATGCAGCAATACCCGGTGTGCAATTGGCAAAATACTCCGTCGATTGGTTCTAACTGCATTGGGGCGGGAGAAAAACAAGGGGAAGGTGATGTCCCTCCCGGCGGAGTTGGATCGTCCGGCGGTGTATCGGAACGATGCCGAACTGGTCCGGGACAACATGACTGGTGAGCTCCTAACCCTTGCTCTCTCCCCCCCTCCTCTGTCACATGCTCTCTCCCCCCCTCCTCTGTCACATGCTCTCTCCCCCCCTCCTCTGTCACATGCTCTCTCCCCCCCTCCTCTGTCACGTGCTCTCTCTCCCCCTCCTCTGTCACATGCTCTCTCCCCCCCTCCTCTGTCACATGCTCTCTCCCCCCCTCCTCTGTCACATGCTCTCTCCCCCCCTCCTCTGTCACATGCTCTCTCCCCCCCTCCTCTGTTACATGCTCTCTCCCCCCCTCCTCTGTCACATGCTCTCTCCCCTCCTCTATGACATGCTCTCTCCCTTCCTTCTGTCACATGCTCTGTCCCCTCCTCTGTCACATGCTCTGTCCCCTCCTCTGTCACATTCTGTCCCCTCCTCTGTTGCATTCTGTCCCCTCCTCTATCACATTCTGTCCCCTCCTCTGTCACATGCTCTGTCCCCTCCTCTGTCACATGCTCTGTCCCCTCCTGCTCTGACCACTCCCGTGCTCTCCCCTCCTGCTCTGTCCCATCCCGTGCTTTTACCTCCTGATCTGTCCTTCCCTTGCTCTCCCCTCCTACTCTGTCCCCTCCCTTGCTCTCCCCTCCTGCTCTGTCTCCTCCCATGCTCTCCCCTCCTACGCTGTCCCTTCCCATGCTCTCACCTCCTCTATCACATGCACTGTCCCCTTCTCTGTCCCCTCGTCTGTCACATGCTCTGGCAGATGAGTGGGGGCTGAAATGGCATGTTGACCAGATCACGCAGTGCCCATTCTCCACGAAATTGTTTGCGATCGCCATGAGCAAGGCGTTTCGAAGGCGCCGCGTCGATGTCACAGCGTGGAAGACACGCATGGTGGCTTTCGCCTTGTTTTCAGTAAGTGTTTTTTTCATTATATCCAACGGTTAGGTTTCAATATCAACATGTTAATGCTGTTTCGCCTTGTTCCTGTGTTCAGCTCGAGAACCCACTGTTGGAGGCAGCAGGGGATGGCAAGCTGGGCACAGACCAGCGTGAAAACCACAGGTTGTTCGAGCTAACGTGCATCAGGGTTCGACGTTGGGTGGAGCACTCTGTGAATGTGCTGGGCGTCACGCATGATGCGACAACAAATGCGTGGGTGTTCGAAAACAGGGTCCGTATTGATGCGTCGGATTACCCTGCACTATTGCCTGTTTGAATTTCTGGTTAATAAGAATGGTAATAAATGCACCGATCCTTAAAGCAGTAATATGGGCAATACTAGTTTCTGTGTTCTGATATTAAAAATTATATGGGCAGAACAATTATAACAGCAACAGCAACAGTAATAACAGCTGAATTATTATATGCAAAACAATTAAAAAACAATTGTAAAACGAATTGAGAAATCAGCACAATACAAATATTTATATCGAGCATAGATTTAATAGAAACTGCTATACAAAAAACGAATGGTGTATATTATTACATTTATTGGCCCCGAGGCGCGATTCCGACGCGGAATGTGGCGTTACCACCATACCCATTTCGGTCAGTTACCAGCTGGAGCGCAGGCTGAACCGAACCCCTGAACCCATCCTATGATATGGCCTGCAATCCACGAGAAAACCAGTCACGTTAGTGCCATGTGTTCAGGCGGAAATCGACCCTGGTTTTCAGTCTGATTTCCGCCACGAGTCTTGAACTCTGGCTGGAAACCAGCTGAAATCCAGACCGGAAGATTGTGATGTCCCCGCGCGTGCTCCTCTCTCCTCACCCTGCATGCTCCTCTCGCCTCCCCACGCGTGCTCCTCTCTCCTCACCCTACGTGCTCCTCTTGCCTCCCCGCGCGTGCTCCTCTCTCCTCACCATGCGTGCTCCTCTCTCCTCACCCTACGTGCTCCTCTCGTTTCATGCCCTCTATTTCCCACCTGTGCGCTCTCTTTCCCCCTCTGTTCTCCTTGTCCCCCTTTGCTCATCTTTCCCCCTTCCGCTGGTCCTTTTCCTTACTGCACCACTTTCAACCCTATGCTTCTCTGTTCCCCCTATGCCCCTCTTTTTCCGGCCAGCTCCACTTTTCCCCCCTTGCGCCTCTTTTGCTGTCTGCCCCTCTTTCCCTCCTCTGCTCCTCTTGTCCCCCTCTACTCATCTTTGCCCCCTCACTCCCTTCCATCCCACTCAACTGTCACCCTCCCTCCCTGTTTATCTCACCCTATTTTTTGCCTCGCATCCCAAATGTCCTGAGGCTCCCCTCCTCAAAGCCTTCCCACATTGGGAATCCCACATCATTATTCATAGTGGGGTGAGGGTTCTTTGTATCTGACATCCATCACTTGCCATCCACTGTACCATGACATCAATTCTGCAATTCCCTCCCTCCCATCCTCACTTCCCCCATCCCCTACTACGCCAGCTCACTCACCCCTTTCTTCTTTTGCTACTCAAGCGCCTGTGCACCCGACGCCGGTTCTTTATATGTGAACCCTTCCCGCTTCTTTCCCAGCACCCCTACCTTCCCAACCCCCAGCCATCTCATTTCAAGAACCAATTACACGATCTACACCCCTATCCTTCCTGCCCACACAGGTGAAATATGGTCCCTCGGTTGATGCTTTGCTCTTCTCGTGCTCTCCCTGCCCTACTTTTCCTCCAAATCACAGCCCCTTATCAATACTTTCCATCACCCCTATCAGCCGTCCCATTGCCCTTTTCCTCACTCAACCAAGGATGAGAGGAAGGGCGGATAAGAGGAAGGGAGGATGAGATGAAGTGAGGATGAGAGGAAGGGCGGATGAGGGGGAGGGAGGATGAGAGGAAGGGTGGACGAGAGGAAGGGTGGATGAGAGGAAGGGCGGATGAGGGGGAGGGCGGAAGAATGGGAGGGAGGACGAGAGGAAGGGAGGACAAGAGGAAGGGCGGATGAGAGGGAGAGAGGATGAGAAGGAGAGAGGATGAGAGAGAAGGGCGGATGAGAGGAAGGGCGGATGAGAGGAAGGGAGGATGAGAGGAAAGGAGGATGAGAGGAAGGGAGGATGAGAGGAAGGGCGGATAAGAGGAAGGGAGGATGAGAGGAAGGGAGGGTGAGAGGAAGGGAGGACGAGAGGAAGGGCGGATGAGAGGGAGAGAGGATGAGAGGGAGAGAGGATGAGAGAAGGAGGATGAGATGAAGGTAGGATGAGAGGAAAGGAGGATGAGAAGAAGGGCGGATAAGAGGAAGGGAGGATGAGTTGAAGGGAGGATGAGAGGATGGGTGGATGAGAGGATGGGCAGATGAGAGGAAGGGCGGATCAGAGGGAGGGCAGAAGAAGGGGAGGGAGGACGAGAGGAAGGGAGGACGTGAGGAAGGGCGGATGAGAGGGCGAGAGGATGAGAGAAGGCCGGATGAGAGGAAGGGAGGATGTGAGGAAGGGAGGACGAGGAAGGGCAGATTTGAGGAAGGGAGGATGAGATGAAGGGATGATGAGATGAAGGGAGGATGAGAGGAAGGGCGGTTAAGGGAAATGAGGGCGACAGGAAGGGAAATGAGGGCGACGGGAAGGGAAATGAGGGCGACGGGAAAGGAAATGAGGGCAACGGGAAGGGAAATAAGTGCGACGGGTAGGGAAATGAGTGCGACGAGAAGGGAAACGAGGGCAACGAGAAGGGAAATGAGGGCGACGGGAAGGGAAATGAGGGCGACGGGAAGTGAAATGAGGGCGACGGCAAGGGAAATGACTGCGACGGGAAGGGAAATAAGTGCGACGGGTAGGGAAATGAGGGCGACGAGAAGGGAAACAAGGGCAACGGGAAGGGAAACGAGGGCGACACATCACCAAAAAGGCCCATTTTCAATCGTGGGGAAAGAAGTTGAAGTTGGGCTTCGAAGTTGGGTTTGCATGGGTGTTGCAAATTTTTGTCGCCCAACCTCCAGCGAAATCCGTCGCTTCCCAATGTTTGCAATTTTTCGCTCCATCCAACCGACTCGCAAAACGGAACGTGCCTCGGCGAACCCAAATTGGCCTGATTTTGGTCAAGTTCTGGCGTTTGACTTGGCTTGAATTTCGAGTTTCAGGTGGTCCCGCGAAAACATTCAATCTGTTGAGCCACATTTGACGCAAGAGCAGCAGGGCGCGGTTCGGGCCCTCAAAATTGGACCAAAATATGATTGATTTGGTGCCAACTTCGGGCCTACATTTTTTTGCTTCGTAAGTTGTTTGTAAACTAATACAAAATGCTGCAATAAAATCTTTGATAAGCATGGTGACACATTCTCACATAAAAATATAACCATGAAAGAACAACTAATTAGGGAGTGGATGATGTATACATTTGTGTTGAATTATTAACTAATAGAATTAAAATCTACAAAAACAGTAACTTGTTATAAAAATACGTCTGCGCATTGTGATTATAATATAGTACATGCTTGAATGTTAGAAAGAAACCTGATTTAGAACAACAAACGGGCGTTGATTTGGCACCACGTAATAGCAAAGGCCTATCGTTCCTCAATTATCACTGCTCGCATGTTTGGAACATCATATCTCCCTACCAAACGCGGCGAATGACACGAAACATGTCTAGCACCCTTAGAAGAGAGTAAATGCTTGAATGATAGAAAAACTCCTTGATTAAAATAGCAAACGGTTGTTGATTTGGAACCATAAAATATTAGAGGCCTATCATTGCTTAGTTCTCCTTGCTCGCATGTTTGCAACATCATATCTCTGTACCATACACGAGGAATGGCACGAAACCTGTCTGGCATGCTTAGAAGATAGTAAATGCTTGAATGGTAGATAGAAACCTTTTTTGAAATAGCAAACGGTTGTTGATTTGGCACCATAAAATAGCAGAGGCCTATCATTGCACAGTTATCCCTACTCGCATGTTTGGAACATCATATCTCCCTACGAGATGCTGCGAATGACACCAAACATGTCCAACATGATTAAAATATAATATATGTCACAATTACGAGGAAAAGTTTAGAAGAAGAAAGAGAGGTTTGCACTAGCAGCAGTTGAGATACATATAGGAGACCCTAGTTGGGTTGTACTCGCTATAGAGTACCCCACTGCAGGCTAGACAATTACATCATTTTGACACACCCCCATAGCCAAAGTGGGGTGTAATCAACACAACAAGCAGTCATAAAATAGTTCACAAGCCCAAGTAAAGCTAGAGGTAGTCACAGAGGGCATGTGAGGAGGAGGAGGGACCGTGAGAGGAGAGGAGATGGGAGGCGACGGCGGAAGCTGCAGACACACAGGAGCTGCTGGCTCAGTGGCTACCGAAGCAATGGCCCGGACTACATGAGTAACTGGCTCGGCGGAGATTGTAGCCTCCTGACTGGAGCAACTGACCCACAGGCGACTGGCGACTACCGGAAATTGTAGCCTCCGGACTACTGGTGCTGCTGGCGACACGACTACGACCTCCGCTCAACCTCCGCCAACTGCCCCATGCCCCTAGCACACACCCCCTGCTGCACCCCTAGCTCCACTCCCACGTCACCCCCCTAGCACCACTCCTTCGGCTCCCACACACCCACCCCCCCCCTGAGCGGCAGCTGCAGCAGCGGGAGACGGAGGAGGAGGAGGACTAAGGGACGGCGCACACAATCGGCACCCCCACAACCGCCACCCCCACACTCCCCACCCCCAAACCCTAAAACGGGTGGCACGGGGCAGGAGCGCGGGGGACGGCGAGGGGGACAGCGCGCGGCCCCCGGGGCGCCACCATTGGGCAGCAAGGGGGGTCGCGCACGGCTCCAGGGGTGGCGCGCGGCCCCCAGGGCTGTCAGAACATATAGCTTGTGCTTATTGTGTAGGCCATAGTGGGGTAGCCCATAAGGGGTACAACCCAATTAGGGTTAGTACTTGTACTCAGTTCATTCATAGTTCATTCATTCTCGTTCTCATTCTCTCATGGTATCGAGCAGGTTCCTCTGTGGGAACTGTGCCTAGGGCCCACCAAAGTTCGATTTTTTTTTCCAACCCGAAGCGCGCTCCGCCCGAGTCGCGCTCTCACCTCGTCGAGCCGCCCTAGCGGCCCCTATGCCCTAGCGGCCCTCCCTACCTTAGCGGCCCCGTCGCCCGTTCGTGCGGCCCCGCCACCTACTAGCGTGGCCCCGCCACCCGCATTCGCGGCCCCGCCGCCCTACGTCGCGACCCCGCCGCCCTAACTGCGGCCTCACCGCCCTACTCCTGCGGCCCCGCCGCCCTACTTCGCAGCCCCGCCGCTCTACGTCGCGGCCCCGCAGCCCTGTTCAGCGGCCCCGCCGCCCCTCTTCGCGGCCCCGCAGCCCCACTTCGCGGCCCCGCCGCCCTGCTTCAGCGGCCCCGCCGCCTGTCTGCTGCGGCCCCGCCGCCCCACTTCGCGGCCCCGCCGCCCTTCTTCGACGGCCCCGCCGCCCGTCTGCTGCGGCCCCGCCGCCCCACTTCGCGGCCCCGCCGCCCCACTTCGCGGCCCCGCCGCCCTACTTCAACGGGCCCCGCCGCCCTACTTCAGCGGCCCCGCCGCCCTACGTCTGCGGCCCCGCCGCCCGTCTGCTGCGGCCCCGCCGCCCTACACCTGCGGCCCTGCTGCCCTACTTCAAGGGCCCTGCTGCCCTACTTCAAGGGCCCCGCCGCCCTACTTCACCGGCCGCGCCGCCCTGTACCAGAGGAGCCGAGCCGCCCTGCCGCCGAGCCGCCCTGCCGCCGAGCCGCCCGCCCCGCCCCTCCCCCCCACCAGCCGAGCCGCCGTGCAGCCGAGCCCCCCAGCCGCCGAACCACCGAGCCGCCCAGCAGCCGAGCCGCCCCGCAGCCGAGCCGCTGAGCCGCCGAGCAGCCGAGCCGCCAAGCCGCCGCGCCGCCCTACAGTTGAGCCGCCCGAGCAGCCCTGTCCGGTGAGCACAGCCTCTCTGTCACTGCGTGCCCTTCCCCTACTGCTTGCACTGCTAGTCTACCGTCGTCATGGCTACCCCTAGTGTCCTCGCTTTTGACGCTGAGGGTCGAGCCATTAACTTTGAGGTCTGGGTCGACGACCTGCAGCTGTTCTTACAGTGCGATAGGGCGGACGGTCTTTCTCTATTTGACCTCACCTCTGGCGCCTCTCATGCACTTGCTGCTGATGCTTATCCCACTGTTCGCTCTCAGTGGGCCACCCGCGATGCTGCTGCACGTCTTGCTGTGCGTCGCCACCTGCCTACCACTGAGCGCGCGCACTTTAGTCAGTACAAGAGTGCTCAGACCTTGTACAACGCTGTAGTTGCGCGCTACTCTTCCCCTGCTACTGCTGCACTGAGCCGCCTCATGCTACCGTACCTCTTCCCTGACCTTGCTGCATTTCCCATAGTTGCTGACCTCATTACGCACCTCCGCACTAGTGACACTCGCTACCGCGCCGCGCTGCCTGCTGAGTTCTGCGCCAAGAATCCCCCCCCCATGTACATCACTCTCTATTACATAGTCGCCCGCCTCCCTGACTCCCTTCGCGTAGTCAGGGACCACTTTCTCTCAGTTTGTCCCACCACTCTCACTGTTGACCTCCTAGAGAAGGCCCTCCTAGCAGCGGAGAAGAGCATAGTCGCTGTAGGAGCCTCTCGTGGTGACCCTCGCACCCCCATCTTGGAGGGGTGTTCCCCTTCCCCCCCTGTTGCCCTCTGTCGCCTCTGCTGCTGCAGCCGACCTACTTGGTCTTGAGTCGGTCGGTGCGGCGTCTGCCCCTAGCGAGAGACGCCGCTCTCGCAAGGGCAAGGGGGGCAAGGGCGCGCGTGGGGCTAGCGGGGGTGGTGGAGGTGGCGGTGGAGGCGGCGGAGGGAGTGGGGGTGGCGGTGGGAGTGGTGCCGGGGGTGGAGGTGGCGGTGGCAGCGGCGGAGGCGGAGGCGGCGGTGGCGGTAGCGGTGGGAGCGGAGGCGGCGGTGGCGGCGGAGGTGGAGGCGGCGGTGGTGGTGGAGGTGGAGCTGGTCGAGGTGGTACTTCTCAGCGGAGCGGCTCCGGGAGTGGTCAGCGCCAGCAGCAGCAGCGTTCTTGGGACATCCCCCCCCCTCAGCAGCTTCGTGAGTGGTACACGCAGCGTCAGCGTGGTGGGGGTTCTGGCCCGTGCACCTACGTCCTCCGCTCCGGCGACCGCACGGGTGAGCAGTGTGGGGGTGCTCACCCCACCCAACGCTGCTTTGGCCGCCTGACGGACGCTTGGCGTCAGCAGTTCCCGGAGGCTAGTGAGATCCCCCGCTGGGGAGAGCTGTCTAGGGCAGGCGTTGCTATCTTTGATCTTGACTTTGATGCTATCCCTGCTGCCATGTATGCTGTGACTATTAGTGATGAGGGTGACTGTTACCGGTGTTTCCCGCCCTACCCGGGCATTGGTACTCCTGCTCTAGGTACTGGTGAGGCTGCTGCTCTAGGTGCCAGTGCGTCCGCGCCCTCAGGTGCTGGTGAGTCTGCGCTCTCAGGTACCACGTCGGCTTCGGCCTCTCTCACCTTCACACTTGACTCAGGGGCTTCTCACTCCTTCTTTCGAGACCGCACCACACTCACGCCGCTTGGTCGGCCAGTTGCAGTCTCCCTGGCAGACCCCTCTGGGGGTCCTGTCCTCTCTCACTTCTCCACCGTCCTCCCGTGTCCGGCTGCCCCCTCTGGCACCTTGTCTAGTCTTTACCTCCCCTCATTCTCTACTAACTTGGTGAGTGGTGCTGACCTGCAGGATACGTGGGTTCACCAGTTCACTCCTGCGAGTCAGCGGGTGACCCACTGCACGGACGCTCGGACAAGCCGACACCTGGCCACGTTTACACGTCGGCCGGGGTCGAGCCTGTACACCTTGACCATTGAGTCTCCTCCAGTCACTGCGTCTAGTCA